GCGCTCCTAGCACAAACGAATTCAGGTAAACCGATTGAAGCCGAAAGTGAAGCAGTATGCACTTAGGAAAGCAGCAGATGCCTGTGACAGCCAACATGCTTGTCCTGGAACAGAAATCTGCCAAGCCCTTGGCCGGGTGCAGAAGCAAGTGCTCGCAGAGGGGATGTAACCGGCAAGGTAAAAGCCGTCTCCTCAGCGACTCACTTCCTAACAAAACCAAAAGGGGTGAAGTAAGAACTCCATTAGTAACCACGAAAGTCCAAACCCCACAAACTAAGGCGATGTAGCTCATCACGTTCGTGACACAACTCCACACGTCGCGTCAGCACTACAAGCCTCGACCACCTGGGCCCCACATCCGTTCGTAGAGCAGGCCAGGTTCTTGCAAAGCAATACCCACAATGCTGCCCGAAGCATTTCCTGCGACGGAACGGCTCATCATCACAACTAAGTTGCCATTGACCTGCTGCGTCGCAACTTGTCCAAAAGCACATCCCTTAACCGCAATCACGAGATACGCCATGTTTGCTTGCAAGTCGCCCTGTGCTTGCAAGTTGACTTCAATCAACAACTGCAGTCCAGCCTGGCGCCGCAGAGGTTGTAGCAATTGAATTGTGCGGCTGTTTCATGGCCATCGCACCCTTCAGATGCTCCACTGCTGCTGGCAGTCCACCCCTCGCCTTGAAGAGCAGACCGTCAAGAGGCTCTCAAACACCCTTCCACTCGGTGCAGTGACTGCCGATATCATGTGACTGTAAGAACAGCTGTCTGCCACGTCCTTGGCCGGTGCAGCCACCACCTAACATGTGACTAGTGCCCTGCACGGAACGGAAGCTGAAATGGCTTTCAATGGCAGCAACCACGCTCCCAGGACTTACACTGTCATCGTTGCCATTTGCCGCCATGTTATTTGGGCTATCTTCATGGTCAGCAAACTTGTCGGCACGTACTGAATGACATGTATAGAAGGTTGCGCTGCAATGTGCATACCAAGATCACACAGTTGGTCAGGTCTCCAAGGAAGTTCTGGCATAGATACGGAATTAGCGAGATCCAAAGCTGTGTCAACATGTTCTGCTCGACCTGTGCTGTCCACCTCCTCCGGTTGAAAGGTGCAGAAGTCATCCAAGGTGGGCCAAGGAGTGTTGCACCCAACGTCTGTATAACGCGGCCACCGCGTTCCTCCGCATTCGTGACAGTTCCCGGGCAGGATGCCCTTCCGGCCTGCCAATATACAGACATGCCCTTTACTGCGCAGCGTTCCTCTTCCCATGACGGGAAACTGACGAGGAACTGGGGCCGCCAGCAATCTACCTACCTCCAGCTGATAGGAGTGTTCTGGGCCCCGATTGTATGTATATACATATATACGTATAATATATATATATACATGTATATGTAAGTACATGAATCACAGTTAGATTTCAATCAGAGTATATATATATGTACATACATACACATACATACATACATACATACATACATACATACATACATATACATACATACATACACATCTATCTACACATGCGTGTATGTTTGCATGCATACATACATATGTGTAGTTGTGTATGTATGTATGCATGTATGTATGTATGTATGTATATATATATATGTGTGTGTGTGTATTCATATACATATATAGCTTAGCGGGTGGCTCCGAGCATGGGTCCTGACATCGCAGTTGAGGTGCGTCACGTAGGGCGATGCACACGAGGCCATGCAAGTATATGCAAGTCTGGCCGTGTGTCACGAGGTGGTTTCGGGGTTTGCGGGTAGCCGATACGCTGAGCCGCTGAGGCACTACTCTGGTGGCTGTGGGCCTTCAGGATGGCAAGCTAGCAGTCTTCGATGCAGAATGAAGTGTAGTGGCGCAGGCAAAAAAGAGGGAGGAGTCGTCGCACCTTCAACTATGAGTCACTTATGAAGGTCATTGCAGAACAGACCTCAGTAATTATTTCCCCTCGGTATCATTGTATACCGCAAGTCTTTGACAAAGATTTGTGGAGCTGGTCGGCTTCTCGCACGAATCTCGCGATTCCAAGCGCGGGAAGGTCAGCAAGTAGGAGGGAGAGGGAGGAGGAGTGCGTGAGTAGTCTCTCGTTGCGAACAGTCACATTTGGTGATTGGCTTGGTGGGTAGTCCAGGTCAGCGTTCGGGTCGGGTTTCGATCCAGCACCAGCTACATTCTGCACGCGGCACTCGTGCTCAAGGTCGCCAATCATTTGTGGGAGATTCGTCCTGTGATGTCCTGTGTGAAGGGAAGCCTGGCCTGGTCCTTCAAGCGTTTTCTTTTGCACGAGTGCTTCTAGCCGATTGTGGCCGCCATCCCCATCCCATGGGCCCTGCAGCGGGCTTACGCCATACTGGACGTCCCAGGCCAGACGCCCTTTACGCTACACGTCAATGCAGGTCGCATGTGTCAGGGGAAATTCAGGCATATTTTCAGATCTCAGTGGCCTCCAAACGAAGAGGTCCTGAACCCAGACTATGCGCCAGACCCTCCCGAGTTTCGCCCGGGTCTTCTAACCTGAGCTACAGCAGACTCGTGCGTGTTCTTGACGCCTGTAGGTTTCAATGGTCTACTTGTGCTGTGCAGACCCTGTTTCGCTCTGTAGATGTGGTGATGGGAGTCGAGGGCTTGCGCATAGATTGGGACTTGGAGTTTAGTAAGTTTAGTACTTGGGTGTCGATTTTTTGAGGCTTCAGGTCTTCAGAGGCTTCCTGAGCTATAGTAGGATTTAGAATGCGGACTTCAGCGAGACAAGGTCATTGCATCCTGGGTGACCAACGGCCGTTTCGTGTGGACACTGTCACTCATGACATGACCTCCGCCCTGCCATGGATCTGGGCCATGTCGCACATGCTCCCCGGAGGGCAGCATGTGTCAGCTTCCCAAGCTAAGTCTGCAGCTGCGAGCAAGTTGAAGGGCAGCCTGTACCGGTAAACGGGCCTGGATTGCTGCATCAATGCACCTGGTATTTGTGATCTTGTTTCTTCCAGCTGCACAAGCAAGTCCACTGCGCATCCCCGGGCAATGGAACTGTCGTGGTGCTTTGGAATGGCCGACCATGCAGCAGCTAAAACGACAGATCGGCATGCTGCTAAGAAGCACCATTCTTCCATCCAGGATTCTTGGGGTCAGCATGTCGGGAAGCTATCTACTGTTGCTGAATCAAAACGAATGTCCTGCTGCAAGATGGACTATGGAGCTCCTGCTCGCAGAGCTAGGCATGGCGCGACAGCAGGCAGACAGATTTGGACGTGATGACGATCTCCCATTCCTGACATTTTTCGGTGGCGGAGACGGAGCCTCACTTTTTCATGAACTCTTTTGGGGTGCCGGTCCAGCCTGGTCTTCTGTGAGTTTGGGTGGTTGGAGCACCTTTGCTTTGATCGGAAGGCTGTCTCAGGCTTTCCAGGTCCATCTGATGGCTGGCCGCGGCCAGCAGGAATTGCTTTCACTGCAAAATACGACGCGACGACGTGCTGTTGTCGCGCAACTGCCAGAACTCCTCGCCCTCGCTCTTGCCAGATTGCAAGCAACAAATGTATCCGGGTCGTGGGCAGTCCGTGCAGTAGCAGCTGCCGCAGTAGAAGAGTCGTTGCGCGGGTGGTCCAAAAGAGCTCTGTCGAACGGCCTGCCACCCGGGCAGGTCGCAGCATCTTTGTTAGTCGACGCCCAGTCACCGGACCTGTGGAATGCACTCGACAAGGTGCTGCTGCCGGACTTCGTGCAGATTTGCCTCCCTGCGACGCTCGGCTTGGAATCTTCTGAAGTGTTCCGTCAGTGCTTGGCAAGGCATTGCACTAAGCATTGGGGGCCGGACGAAGCTGGTGCAGCCGCTCGTGCCAACCGAAGCTCTGCGACAGGCTTGACCATGTTTCACATTGGATCGGATCGAGATGTCATGAGCGACAGCATCCGCAGCGGGTGTTTTGCCCGATGCTCCAATTCTGTGATTGACCTTCTCAACAGGGTATCAGAAGTCCTGGTGGACCTTCCTGCGACAACTTTTACCTACGTGGATGCTGGGGCAGCCATGGGGGAGTGCATGCTGTCGGCAGCCTTCCTCTTGCCGGACGGTCGCTTGCGGGGTTTAGCATTCGAGGCACTGCCCAAGTGGGCGAAGCGCATGAGGCAGAGCCTGCGTCTCAATGGCGTTTCATTTTCAGGGAATGGCACACAGGTGGAGGTCAAGACACTGGCTCTTGGCCAGTCGGGGAGGAAGCTGCTTGGATCCGTGGATGGTGGAGGCTTCTACGCCAAGGTTACTCACAAGGGCGGCGGAATCTTCATGGTGAAAACTTCCTCTTTGGATGACGAAATCACGGCAAACATGCAGTTCAGAAATGAAGCTTACAGAATTGATTTTCTGCACATCTTCGCAAACCATTGTGAGCCGGATATACTAAAGGGCGCCAGGCAACTCCTGCTTGAGCGCCGTGTGGGCTGTGTGCTTGCGCAAGCACATGACCTTGGGTCTTTGAACACTGAAATCGGCGGAGTTCTTCGAAGGAGTGGCTACGCTGTCATGAACCAGACTTCATATGTGGCGGGCAGCCCTGCAGATGCCGTCTCACTTTCAGGTGGCGAGGTTTGTGACCAACGCTTCTTCCGCTGGTGGCTGCACGGAAAACATGACAATGAAGTGGCTGCCAGGGAGAGCCTCGAAAACGACGGAAACAGCACAGATTCAGCAAACCCTTCGAGATTGTTGCTGCCGGCCGATCTTGTTCTTTTTTGCTTCTTTCGTTTGTAGCCTATTGCTTGGTTGTTCAATGTTCTTTATGTTGCACCCCAAACCCTCACAGTCCCCCACCCCATGAGCCCCGCGTATTGCCTTGCAGCCGGCCGCCAGGAAGCTTGATTTACAAGCTTCGATCCTCAATTCGGGTCGATCTTCGGTTGGTGACCTCAGTGTGGATGTCGGGGCTTCTTGGCCTCGACGTGGTCGAGGATCCAGAGTCTAGTTCTGGTCAAGGTGGACACGAACAAAACAGGTTGCAACCCTGTCTACAGCAACCCTTTCGACATCCAATGAACATCAGCGGAATTGGGTGTTACATGGTCTAAGTCTTAATTCTAAATAGTAGTCAACTACCACAGGGCTAGGTCGCTAGGCCTAATTTCTGTTGGAAACTGTGTTGAGACTAGCCCATGTGTATGGGCCGAGAGCCTTTCCAGGTCTGCCGCGTTGAGCCGATGGCTCCTGTTAGGGGTATCCTTACTTACTTCCATGGCAATGGCACAGTTTCGACAGCTATCTCCACTGTCTTACTAAGCTCAAGGCTCGAGGCTTGTGACATTCTTGATTCTTGAGCAGAGCTGAGATTTTGAAGCGTGAAAGTAAGAGCGGCACTTCGGGGAGATTCAGGGTACTGGAGCACGCCAGTTGAGCTGAGCTCGGCATCAGGATAAGGTCTGAACACAAGGACCCAGCTGTCAATCCCGCAAGTCCGAATATGCTGAACTGTGTAGTATGGCAAACCGACACTGCAGCTTGGTGTTGCTGGAGGGATTCAAGCCACTCGTGCGGGTTTCGATTCTAGACACGTTGCTGGAGTCAGCAAAAGCTTCTCACGTCGTGGATATGCCTATGCATGTAAGTACGGGAATTGTGCGACTAGCCATGCATGAGACAAGTGCGCGAAACACAAGCAGCTAGCATGGCTTTCAGCTCCTTCGTCTTATCCCCGGACATTCAGAATCCTTCGGTCCTGAGTTTCACCGGCCCTCCGCAGGCAAAGCTTATCAGTAAGAGCGGCAGGCCCTCACAACTTTTCCGTTTCACTCCTCTCGCCCAATCAGACCTTGACCGCACGTGCCTCTCATGAGGCTCTTTCCTTTCTTGGTTTTTGCACTGAAGATGGTCGCACAGGCAGACGCAAAAGAAAGTATTGCTGCAGATGCTTGGGGTACAAGTAGCAAGCTCCACCGCAGAGACGTCTTGTCCCTGCCGGAAATAGTACTAGTCATGCCTATTCAGGCCCGGTTGCAGCGCCCGTCCGTTGCAAAGCCAGCAGGTTTTGGCTTTTAGGGCCAGGGCAGTGCCAGGGCATTGCTGCGGAGCCAACGGAAGGCAGGGCGGGATTCAGGACGATGTGATCAATCCATTTTTGCTCCATGCACGTGTGGTGTCTCATAGCCGTCACTGCTGCCACTACACCGAACCTGCTCGACGCGCAGAATGCCGACACCATAGGACAACGAAACACCCATAACAAGCTTGACCTCATAAGGTGCATTTGCAGAGAACGGCCACAGCTTAAGCTTCGGCTTGCGTGCAGTACTGCCGGATAAGTACTACTCCCTCCCTCTCCCCTTCTCTCCCCTGCCGGAGAAGTGCTGGAGAATCGCTTCGTCCACGCAGCTCTGTTCTTCCAAGACCTCAAAGCCTTCTAAATATTCTAGAAGCCCTCCGGCGTCTGTAAATCCTTCAATAACAACGCTTCAAAGCCCAACGCCTGTACAAAACAAGCTTGTGCAAACCTCGTCCTGGAAATCCATCAGCCCCAACCCATGAAATATATATACATATACATATATATATATATATATGTATAAACACCTTCTGAAAACCTTTCAAGTTAGGCCCATCTCTGGAGCCTTCTATTACACCCCTACACCTCTATCGCCCCTGTGAACCCTTCCAATAGACCCTTCCTACACGGCCGATTCTTTGGATGTACCCGGGCGCATCAAAAGCACAAACAAGTTGCTTCGCCCCATGCTTCCTCTATGTATTGGCGGGAGTCATGGTTAAATGCTTCCGTGCATGTACTGGTGGGATCAAGAGACATCCCCATGCACTGGCGGCATTCACACATGTTCAAGCCAAAATGACCGTTCCACTGCATGCGTGGTGCTGGGACAAGCCGGGTCAAGTCATGAATTCACCAAAGTAGTACTTGGACTAGAGAACCTACCTTATTCAGGACTTGTATAAGGGAATCATACGAGAGAGCCCTACAAAGTAGGTTCGTCAAGAATGGGAATTTACAATGAATCTTTCCGGGGGACGCGCGCAAACCGGGTCCACCCAGAAGGTTGGTTGTCAATTGCGAGCACGGATCGTCGCGGCACCACACATGCAGCATCAGGCAGCGCGATTTTGCGCGACCCGCCCCCCGGGATTCAAGAGCACGGGCAGAACGTTTCATCCATGTTTTGGCGGGATTCACAACAATCAGTGACCACAAGAGTGGCGGGGATGCGCGCGACCAAAATGCATCGACCCCCTATGTATGCTAAAAGGAATCAGCTGCATATAGGTATTGGAGAAGCTTCGATTGTGCAGTCATGGTGCTGTCTCCCTTGCAAACGAAAGGCTGCGAAGAATGATGCAGCCACTTGGGCAAAGAGGAAGGAGAAAGCCGAAGAGAAGAAACGCAGACGAACCATTGAGCCCGCGCAGGCAAGCATAGGCAAGCTCACTATCACAGACTTGACGACACCCGCTGGCAAATGGTCAAGTCAAGGGCCAAACCGGCATGAACGTCTGCCGAGCAGGGACGGTGCCCTGATGCGAATCGAGCTGCAGTGAGCTCAAACCTCATGACAAATCAAAAAAACAAACATGGAGAACGAGAGAGGGAGCGAACAGGACGGGACAGGACAAGACCGTACGGAGGAGAGGATCACGGAGCGGATCGCGGGACTGGGCGGGCCGGATGGCAGCCGGACCGGAACGGTCGGGACAGCAGAGACAGATGCAAGCAGACACAGTAGGACGGACAGACAGACTCAGACACGGACGCGTACCTGGCCACAGACAGACAGAGAGACAGCAAGAGAATGAGCAAGAGAGTCTTACCGGGCCGTAAAACAAGACATGAGCAAGACCCTCCCAGGCGGAGCGATGCTTGTGATTGTAGGCTGCATATAAACAGTACACTGTCAGCTTTCCACTCGCGGTCTGTCTCGTCGCAGTGCGTGGCAGGCTCTGAGCATATAAACAGTACACTGTCAGCTTTCCACTCGCGGTCTGTCTCGTCGCAGTGCGTGGCAGGCTCTGATGATCCTCCGGCTGGGACCAGAGGTGCAGTTCACGTGCAGTATTGCAGGGACTAACCGCTGAAGTTGTGGATACTGCGTTGGTGCTGCTGCAATTGTGTGGGCTCTGTCCAGCCGCACGCACATTATGCAACAAGTTTCGCGCCACAAGTTGATTGGGTTCTGACTCATGTCTCGTGGGTCGGCGGTACTGATGTTGCGACAATGGGGCTTGTCCCGAGGGAACTTGGGGTGGTCTAGTGATATGGATTGTCGTTACCGGACGACCGAAATGGATATTGACTAGCTCCTTGAACCACCATTGCGCTGCACTTGCACCTCTTACTAGCGCTCTTAGTTCTCGCCCTTTGTCTACTACTCGTGCTGCTTTACTTTTACTTTCGCTGCTCCTGCTTCCTCCGAACTACCAGGACTACCGTGCAATGTGATACAGCCGTAATTGGAAGACTCGTTGTCGAACCACAACTTTAGTGTTTGTCTTAAGTCTTCAGTTTGACACGTATAGAGCATGAACAAGCCCAACAGAACTCTCATGTGCTACTGGGGCCCAAGCGATCTGTTCAGAACACAGGACTGACTCCTTTGGAAAGTCAAGTGTTCGTCTGTTAAACGTTGCTGGCCTTCGGCATTTGCCTCTGGAACTCGAGGCTCCTTGTCCACAGGAAGCTTCGTTTCAATCGGGGCATATAAACACATCCCCACTGCGTAACTAGGCCCCAAGCATGCTGACCGATCGCTGCTTTGATTTCGATCACCCTGACCGAATGACAACAAGGACTGGAGATCCGCAGTTCGTGTGTAGCAAAGCTGTTTTGTAGAGAATGCTTGCGCTTTGTGTTTCTGATATGAAACAGTTTTTTGAGGCAGCCACGCATTCCACAATCTAGAATCCCAAGCTACTTCCTCCCATGCCACGAACATCTCGGCTGCAGCTGGCTACAGCGACTGCGCAGAAGTTTCTCGCGACTGCAGCCCTCGTTGGAGTGGAGGCTCGTGCTGTTCCGGTTTGCGAGAAAGTGAGCAGCGTGCAAGCTCAACGATTCCGGCCTGCCCGAGCGCGCGATTGGGTACACGAAAGCCTCCAGATATTCTGACTAGCCCCTGGGGCGATACGCGTTGCGGATGTTCTTGTTGGAGTTTGGTCCCAATGCTGATCGTCAACGGAACAATACGTAACGTGCAGTAACGTGCAGCGTCATCGCGTGGAAGATGTGGAAGCAGATTCGCACTTGCATGTGGCAACTGTCAGAGTGACTGGCATTTGGTTCAGTGTGTGGCTCGAGGGGACCTCGTGTGAGCATTGAGGCTGCCTCCAAGACCAGTTGCGTGACATTGGTATAGGAAACCCATGGGCTTGTCGGGCAGTATGCACACTGCAAAAGTCAACTTAATGAAACTGTTTTATGTGGCCGAGACGCCCAAGCACACGGGTAAGTCCTCCGCCGCAGCAGGTGGATGGGCAGCCCCTTTACAGCAGCAGCGACAACAGACAGCAATTAGCCCCCGCTCTTGTACACAGCATCCGGCCACATCAAGTTTGCAAGGCACGTTAAATTTGATGGACTATAAGCTGCAGCGTCGAATCAGTAAACCATAGCTGCACCCAGTGTCGACATGGCTGGGCCATGGACAGTTGTGCAGATTCAGATAGTGGTCGCGCTGGCAGGCGGGTACACATTCAGTCGCTTGCAGAATTCAGCAGTTACCAAAGATACATGGCAAGTGCTGGTTCTGCTGACGCTAAGC